TAGCAGGTGGTTATAAAAATGGTAAGATCTTAGAAATTCCATAAAGGAGTTCAGAATAAGAGCCTTTACTCCAAAATTAAGTATCTCCCCTAAAATACCCCAGAGCCCTAGGTCTCGTGGAGGACAGATGCGTTAAACAACTCTAGAGATTCAAGTCAAAAACATCTTGGAGATATTTCAAAAACTAAAAAAAATCTTTCAGAATGTGATAAATCTCAGTACTGTAAATTCCACAAGTGAAATCCTGGGCCCATTGAAGTCAATGGCAAAACTCCCATTCACTTCAATGGGGTTTAGGATTTAGCTTGTCTCTCTAAAACATCTTGATTCATGTGAAAATTTGTATACTCTCAAAAACCCAACCACTCCTTGTGGCCAGAGATTGCGAGTGAGAAATGTCAGGCAGGTTGGTTTTGATCTGAGGAATTCAAGAAGGGGGCTTCAAATCTGGTATATATTGGAAAGCTAGATATCGTAATGGTTTTGTTTGTTTGTTTGATTGATCGAGTGATTGATTTTGGGTTGTCTGTTTGTGAGTTGTATACTCCTTTTCATAAGAACTTGCTAATGCGTGGAATCAAAAATTAAATAGAATGACTAGCTAGACTCTATGAAGCCACATATGAAAGATGTATGACAGTTTCCTTCCTTTTAAAAGAATGACCCTTCTCTAGAGCTATTGCAGTAAGTGGGGTGGGGGGTAGGCAGGCGCAGCATAGATACATCCCTCAACCCCATGAAACCAGTTTGCTTTCAAAACTCAGAAGAGACTAATCAAAAATGGCGAACAAGATCATATACGTAGACTTAAAGATTTTACCAAAGGCGAGAGAGTCTCCAACTTCAGATTCAGGTAAAGAACATCTTAATACTATTTTTTTATGAAGGCAAAAATTAAAAAGCTTTCATGATTTGTTAAAAGGGGTTTTTGTTTTGTTATTAGAAGTACTGCATAGTTAAATAATTTCAGATCCACATGAGATTGTGGTAAGTAGCAGCAATACATTTGGAGCCAAAACTATAGAGCTACCCAGCATTTCTAGTAACGGATTGAAAATCACTTTTCAACTAAGGTTAAAAAATTACAAACACAACAACTTTTCTGACCATAATGGCCACTTTGATCTGAGATCACGGCTGAAGTCAAGAGCAATCTCCAGTGCTTTGGATTAGTTTGTTAAGCTCCAATATTGTATTCAAATTCAGTGTTGCGTCTCCATATTTCTAGCCAAAAAGACACTAATGGCAGCTAAAGGTGTGGATGTTGTCTTTGCAAAGAAGGCACTAAATGAAGAAAATTGTTTGTTTCTTTTTAATATTAGTTTTTAACCAGGGGGATTTAATAATAGCACAATGTTAAAAGGTCTTTCAATATCCTTCTCCTTGTAATAATCAACAAAGCACCAACTGTATAGCTTTAAAAAAAATCCAGCACTGAGATTATTTTATTATGAATATTAATGATAGCATTTGAAATACGACATTTCCCTTGTGTTGATGTATTTTAGTGTGTGATAGTCACTGTACATATGGGACAAGATTTTCAAAAATAGAAGTGTAAAGTTAGGGTCTCTAACTCGGGTTTTCAGGGTGGCCTATGGGATTTGTGCACCCTACTCCTATTAAATGTCAGTGGGAGAAGGACACTTAAGGCTCCTTTGGAAATTCCAGGCCTAATTCTATATTTAGGCATCTAAGTAAGTGACCTCATTTTCAAAAGAGCTTAGCTCCCTGCAGCTGCCATTGACTTTAGCAACAGCTACTGAGTGATAAGCACTATTGAAAATGAGGCCACTTTCTAGGCAGTGGCACCAATTAGCAGTCACTGGGGAATGCTCCCCACACTACAAGGTTTTTGCACTTGCTCAAAGTTCCAGAAAAAGGCTACTATCTGCAGGCCCAGATTAACCAGTATGTACTTGGTGCATGTATTCAGGGCCCCCATCTCAGGACCGGGCCAAACTTAAGTGGCACAGGGCCATGTGCAATGCTTAATTTGTGCCCAGGCTCACCCAGGCTGAGCCCTGGCACCTCTAGGCTTGGCAGTTCATAGCCCCAGCATCTCTGGACTTGCCATGTCAGTTATGAAAGTAAAAAAATTGTTTGAGCTCTGGCATCTAATTGCTTGAGCCCCAGCTCCTCTTTCATTACAAATTAAGCACTGTCTGTGTGTGGGGTGGACAGCCAGGATCGGGAGTTGCTGCGCCAGCCCAGGACAGGAGCGAAGCGTTGAACTGGGGGTGCTGGTGAGTGGCCAGGAGGGTTCTGAGGGTGGTGGGTGAGGGGATGGGGGTGAATGAGGGATATTGGGGTGGTGGGAATTGGGGCTGAGATGTTGCAGGGGAGTGGCAAATGATAGGAGCTGTGGCCAGTGGGGCTGAGATGTTGGGGGTTGCAGCAAGCACAATGTATGTCAGGGCTGCTGGGGTGTGTGTGGGTGCAGTCAGGATAAGTGGGGGCTGGGGAAGGGCTGTTGGGGTATATGTGGGGTTGGCAGGGCATTTGGGGGTGTATGTGTGTGGTGGGGTGAGGGAGCATTCGGGGGTCAGATCAAAAAGTTTTCCCCCCAAGAAATATCTGAATTGGTGCCACTGTTGTTGAGGTGCATAAATACAGTTTTAAAAACCTAACATTAGACTCCTATTTATGAAAATCTTAGTCATATTATTTTTCATTTTTATTTGGAGCTGGGGGCTGGACATTTGTGAAACTATAAATGATAAAACCCTTTCATGCCACATTGTGGGTGACTGGGATAAAATGAATAATAGCAAACCAACTTTCATGGATCTGAAAATGTACCATGGGTAAATGTATCAGATCCATAAATCCAGATGGTATCAGCAGAGCCTGGCAAGATTGTTTCCTAAAAGAGTAGCTCCAGAATATTGGAGATGGGGGCACAAGTGTCTCCTTTGAGTATCGCAAACCAGCTTCTAACTCTTTTAATCATTAAAATCATTATAGTTATCAGCATTGTTTCTTCTTTCAGGAGACAGGAACACGTATGCAGTCCTGCAAAGGCCTCAGAACTTGGATAGCCCATCAGAGACTTCCCCCTCTGGTAACTCTGCAGAGATATACATTTAGTTCAACTTCATTTCATCTGGGGAAACTTCATTTCATTTTAATTTGAAGTCTTTACGCAAGGGGAAATCCTGAACCATCTTTGCATGCACAGATGGCCCTGAAACATGGCAGAATGTATCCAGTGCCACAGGGCAGTGGGGGGTAGGAGTCTGAGAGAGTGTGTAAAGTGTCTGCACCGAGTGGAGCATGGAGCACAACTTCATGGGGGTATCAGAGTGGAGGGAGGTTTTGGAATGTGTGGGGGGACAGGGCTGGTGAAGTCACACAGCCATAGATCTCCCTCTCACACTCACTATTGGTGTGTGTAAGTATCTGTGTCTACAGGGGCTCCTGCAGACCCACCTGAGGCTGCAGTAACAACCACAAAGTAGCTCTGCTGCTGCTCTGCAGACTGGGCGGGGGCGGATTCCGTCGCTGTTGAAGGCTCCAGTGCACAACCCAAGTTCATGAGCTTTGCATGAGTTAAGGCTGCAGGATTGCTATGTTTTGTAATTATCTTCACATAGTATAATTTTAACTGCAAATACAAGCAGTTTCCAGATGGTGTGGGATCGCATTGTAGGTGAGTATTTCACTGAGAAAATGTTTAGCTTTCTGACCTGCTTCTACAAGGTGAAGGAGCTTTCTGAGTAAAATTTGTCTATCCCAGAGATGAGCATATGAGACTAAATGAGGATTATTTATTAGAATAAAATATAAATTTATGTTATTCATTTTATCCCCAGTCAGCCACTATGAGGCTAGGTCCGTGCCCCAGCACAACCCACTGCAGGCTCGTAGCCTAGGGTCAGGGCCGGCTCTAACTTTTTTGCCGCCCCAGGCAAAAAAGAAGAGCGCCGCCCCGTCATACCCCCCCCCCCCCCCCCCCCCCCAAAACCCCCCCCCCCCAGCACCACGCCACCCGAAGCCCCCGCCCCACCTCTGAGCATCACGCTGCCTGAAGCCCCCGCCCCCCCTCTGAGCACCACGCCGCCTGAAGCCCCCGCCCCCCCGAGCACCACGCCGCCCGAAGCCCCCGCCCCCCCTCCGAGCGCCGCACCGCCGAATCCAAAAATAAAAAATAAAAAATCGAGCGCCGCCCTGCCCCAAGGTGCTGCCCCAAGCACGTGCTTGGTCGGCTGGTGCCTGGAGCCGGCCCTGCCTAGGGTCTAGACACCTCAAACTTTCTGGGGGAAATGAAGACAGATTCATTCTAGCAGCCTTTTCCCCTTGGAGGCTGGCTACTCTTTATAAGCCCCTTTCTTCATACTGCAGCATGACTGCTGTTAGAGACTCAGGCTCCAAAGGGATCCTGGTGTCCTGTCTCAAATCCCAAGGAATTCCCCTGGGTCCTAGCCTCTCCAGGAGCACTCCTGTTCCAGAAACCAGTCTGAGGGCAACTCCTTTTATTAAAGAAACTTGGCTGGGTATGCATGAGGATTATGAGGACCCCAACATGTCTTTACTGCTTGTCACACAGTCCCAGGAAAAATCCCAGAGAAGCAGGGAAATGTCCAAAGGAAACTCTGTGGGTTGGGATCACAGGCGGAGACTTTCAAAGCCAACTAGTAGATATACCCAGGCAACTCCCATTTTTATAAAGTGAGTTACATGGCTAAATTGCCTTGTCAGCCTTGAAAATCTCAGCCACAGCATTTCAGCTGGACATTCTCTTCAAGGGGTCTTTCCCTTATAAGGCCCTGTGGACCATGCAGGAGGAAAGACCTCCAAAGGATCCTTAGGTCTCTCTTGTGTATCCCAGGGTCTCTGTGCAGGAAGCTGGCATCTGTGTGGTGCTTTCTGTTCTCCCACTCCCCCATGGCAACATGGCATCTGTATTGCAGCAACTTCTTTCTATTAAAATCCAAACATTTCTTCATTATTTGCAGGCCCTGGCTCTCAGTGTTCAGGCTGGCTCTATGTTACTCTAGTCCTGGGAATTATTGCACTGAGTCTGCTGCATGCATTGATCTTCTTGTCTATGCAGGGTGAGTGCCATCACTGTCTGGATAACACCCAGCCCTTGATTCTGTAAGTTCTTGTGCTGCACGATGCAGCAGGGTGTGCAAGATTGTAACTCTACATCCTATGGAACTAAATGATCTTTAGATCTCTCTTGTGTACCCAAATGTGACCTGTTGGCACAAAGTAAGGTTAAGCTGTAAGAATAGTCTTTCAGCACTGAGGGGTAATAAGTCTCAGCCCCCTGTGTACACACATATTTTTCACAAAAGTGCTGGGTAAAAGAAAGATGGAGTATGGGCAGGTGAAGAATGGGTGTATATGAGTAGAAAAGGCTCTAGTATACTCCATATGTGCTATTTGGGTGTCTACCTGTGTGTTCTTCTTAGGCCTAACTCCTGCTGTTAGGCAGAAATAATTTGGTGACTACCCAGCAGCCTGCCCGTTAATGATAGATTTGGTTCCTCTTCACTCCCTGCCCATTATCTTTTACCTTGTGCACAACACTAATTTGTACTGTGCAGAATCACGCCCACCCTGTTGGATTCATTTTATCCTATGGTTTATTTGTTCTATCTTGGAAATGTGCTGAATATACTTTCCCGGGCCATTATAGTAGGAGATTCAATATCATCCAATTGTGTTAAAATTACCTTTCAACTCCCCAGCATTGTCACTAGTAGTAATGTGGCTTTGTGTAAGGCCTGTGCCCTGATGCCTATGAGAGAATAGAGGTAACTGAGTGAGCTCTCTGCAGGCATCTGCTGGAGGCAAGGGGAGTTGACTGAGTGAGGCAGGTAGCTCAATTAAACATCAACTATGTTCTTTGCTGGCATCTGCTGGAGAGCAAGGAGAGTCAACTCAATGATGCAGTACCCCATTTACATATTAACTGCGGATAGTTTGGGGACACTGGGGTATTATTTACCTAAATTTTATACTTGGAGCCAATATTTTAGAGAGCATCCTGTTGGGAAGCACCTAGGCAAGGCCTGAACAATGACTGGGTTCAGGGTAACCCTGATAACTACTGATGGTTGCCGAGGTTGGGTAAGAGGCCCTAGAATAGACAGTCCTCCCTTTCAAGAAAAGAGAAACTGCACGTTTGTGGTTTATTTGCAGGGCATGCATACATTTTTGCATAGTTAGGGACTTTGGGGCTCCCCTTGTATCTAAAAGAGCTGAGAGTTGCAATTGCCTTATGTGGTCATAGCTTAGTAGTAGTGGTAAGCAGAGGACAGAGCCCAGCAGCAGTTCCAGTCACCTGGCCACCAGTGAGCTATGCAAAGTAGTAGTTGGGCCCACCTATAGCCTCCAGGAGGAGAGCAACAAATTGTGAGCAGTTGTATGGACTATGGTGGGAGCAGAGGAATTTACAGCATCAGTCTACACCAGTGGTTCCCAAACTTCAGCAACCAGTGAACCCCTTTCACTAAAGTGTCAAGTCTCGCGAACCCCCTCCTAAAAATGAATATTTCCAGGGATTTTCTCCTTTATTTGAGTATAAATTATAAAAGCAGTGATCTGGGAAATATAAAATTTGTTTTTATGACATGCATATTACACACTATTTATTATTTATCATTACAGTATTTTTATTACATTATGAAAATGGCGACACTCTTCCAAGATCTCACTTTCGTAGCTTGTATCACTTTGAATAAGCCTGTTATAAGACAAGGCTCCTTTGTTTCATCAAGGAGTATCAGATGTGAAACGTCATGACAGTATTTAAGAAGCCAACTCAAAGAGTTCCTCCTACACAAGCATTCAGGTCTTGAGCAGTCCAGGCAAACAATGCACATTACAACAAAGCTTAAACTTGTTCTTCATAATAATTAAAAAAAACAATACTAGCTGCCTATTTAATTTTAAAAACAGCAAAAAGTATCCACCTCCCTTTCCATTTCTTATAAGGAGTCTTGAAGTTTAAATCTCCTCAGTGTGATAGATCTGCTTGCTTTGATCTGCTTAGCTCGTGGAAGTCCAGTGGCTCCGGGCTGCTGGCCCCATGCTGCCCGGGGTCCCTAGGGACAGCTCTGTCCACCATTAGGGAATTTTTTTCCAAGAACCCCCTGTAACATTTCGCGAACCCCCAGGGGTTCACGAACCCCAGTTTGGGAACCACTGGTCTACACTGACCTAAAGACTCTAGTGAGGCCTCCCTGTTCTTGCTGCTGAAATCATTCTAGCAGGAGAGGTGCTAGAGCCCAGAGCTTCCTAAGAAACAGTGGCCCTGATTTTGCTGGGAGTCCTGGAACCACAAACTATGAGCAGGGAAGTTGGGGATCCACTGTTGGGGGGAGGGGCGGCGCAGGGCGGTAGAAACCTGCATTAGCCACTCAGGGTCCAATTGTTCGGGATGGTAAATCGTGCATCCTTAGGAGGTAGTTTCCTGTTCTGTCCCTTTCCTTTCCCCAATAAAGATTAAACCTCTGTTGAATGTGCTTGCAAATGGGTACTGATTTGCCTACCAAAGGTGCCAGAAGTAGTGATACGTTCCCAGATACTGGGTGGGGGATTGACCCTAAGTTAAGCAAATTCTAGAGAATCCCCTAGAAAGAAGGACCTGGTCCTTTTTGTTGCCGACGCCATTGGCAGAAGGGTTACATTTGTAATAAAGCTTCTGTATCACTTTGAGGTGTCCCTTAAAATACCTTAACTTGGTGACTGGGAAAGATTTATAGTAAGTCTATTCTTAATAAAGAGGAAGAGTTTGGTCTGCTACTTCCCAAAGAACAGCCAGCTTCAAAGAATATGAATTAAGTTCCCTAGGTTGTTGTTAATTCCACAGCATTTGTTCTAATTAATTATCTTTAAATAATTTTTAAAGATATGGGGTGAAATAAATAATTTTTGCTGCTGATTCTGTATTGGGTAAATCTGAGTCTTGCTTAGGGAGTGGATTTAATTATATTCTTGGTAATTATTTTCTGTAAGCCATCAGCAGTAGTAACTTTTTGTTCTTTTTTCCATCCTCCTCTACCAATATTTCTAACTCATACATGTTGTTAGTTGTTGGCTGCAGAGGGCGATGGAAGCTCCCTAAAATTGGGGGGGACTGCCAGCACCTAAACTGTGGTGCTGCCATCCCACGCCGCCCCTGTACCCCTCCTCTCCTGCCTTCGCACCTCCCCTTCCCCGCAAGATCTGATGCTGCCCCTTCTCCCTGAGTCCCCTCCCTCATGCTGCCCATTCCCCCTGGGGCCAACCCTCATGCCTCCCCTTCTTCCTAAGCCCCTGTCCTCACACCACCCCTTCCCCTGAGACCCTGCCCCCATGCCGTCTGTTCTCCCAAGGCCCCAGTCCTGTATCACCTCTTCCCCGCAAGACCCTGCCTCCCGCTCACTCCTCTCCATGTCCTCCTCCAGCTGTCGCTCGCCCTTATGGCCTGTAAAAAGTGGGAGGGCATACCCCTCCCGCTTTTAAAAGGGATGCGGCCATGGCCCCCTGGCCCCCTGTTCCGGCGCCCCGGATTTTCTGCACCTGTGTTCTCTGTGTGTTGCACCAGCTCTATGCAGATAGCTGACGCAGCAGGCCTCAATCAAACTGCCCAAGAAGACCACAGACTCGGTTCAGTAGCGAAGGACATATGGCAAATGTGTGTATTATCCCTGAGAATAGTGATGACATCTGTAGACATGACTTTGGATCTGTGCCTGCATTTCAGTCATTGTTTATGTCATGGTGGGAATCTGGTGCTAAACAGACTTTAGAGAGGGATTTGGTAGTGATCCCTCACACTTTCCATTATAAAAAATTCTGGCGAGCTTTCTTTGAGCAGCTGTCAGACCTCCATTGTTTGCAGCAGGGCTTTGGAATTCGGTAGCCATTTTCCTCCTCTCATTTTTGTTCCTCAGGAGAATTTTGGCATTGTGCTCAAACAATGACTGAACATGAACAAGGTAAAGAACTGGGCCCCCACTGCCATAGCAGCAGCAACACACACTGCTCCCAGGAAGGCATGGGCTCTGCCAGGGCAGTAAAAGGGGCAAAGTCAGGTTCTTCACTCCCAGTTGTCCATCCTCCCCTCTGGGGGCACCACAGAGGAGCTCTCCCAACTTCTGGTGTGGAGTGAGAGGGAGAGCACCCCAAGCCAGGCTTCTCTCATCTACACCACAGACCCAGCACATGGTTCCAGTGACCTAGTCTCACACCTTCTGCTACCAGCTAATGTAGCTATTCCTGTAGCTCAAGTGCTAGCAGTCTGTGTTTTGGTGCTAAAATCTTGAGGTGCATATAGGAGGAGGGGTTTCTACAGTGGCATATAATACAGTTTGGTTTTAACCTTTTCTTTAATAAAAATAGGAATCTACCTATAACAAAATATGACCTTAAAAGAAAGTTATTTAGGTTGCAAAGCCAAGCACTTAAAAGTTGGGAAGTGCCAGATTTACAGTTGCTTGTGAAATCTTAATTCTTCTCCTTTGTGCATATGTATTATGATATAGTCTTTAATTACATGATCACAGCCTTTTTCCACAGAATCCCTGCTTCATTCAGTGCCCAGGATGGACACACAAGGAGGCAGAATGGGGATTGCATAGGCAACCTTAAATCTGGCATTTCCTAACATTCAAGTGCTTGCTTTTGCAACCTAAATGAAGTTTAGCAACCTAACTGATTTTTTGGTTTTAATGTAATAATATTGACACTAACAAAAACTGGTGCACTAAATAGCCACATCCCATTATTCATTATATAATACTAGTAGTAAAATACCTTCTTATACCAGCTCTAAATGTGTCCTTATTGACCATGCTCCTTTCCATTAAGGTGTGCTCTCCTTAGACTGTCACATAGTGACACTGGCCCTTTAAAAGAGAGGAAGGCCAGTGCACCTGTGCTGGTCAGTTGACCCCAGTTGAGCTCTAAAAGAGGGCACTTGGGCTTGGTGAGAGGCAGTCTGGATGAGTCAGGCTAGGAACCAGTCAGGAAAGGGGTAGAGAGTAGCCATGTGGCTCTCACTGCCTGCTCCCTGGGAACAGAGGCAGGGAAACCCAAGCAGCAGGACTGCTAGAGTCCCCTGGGAGGGTAGGCAGAAGAAACCTGAGAACTAAAAGAGGAAATATCTCTGGGAGCTGTAGCCCAGGGTGAGTTTCAAAACTGTGTTTCTGTTGATTTGACCTAAGCTTGTGTTATGCAGGATTTTCAGAACCCAAAGCAGTGGTAACTTAACTGTTTCTCTCCAGGCACTGTCAGGAATAAATCCATGGGGACACAGCTCTTCCATTTGATAAATGATTGGTTCAAACTAGAGTGCTTTTACCTAAAACTACTTTTTTATTAGGTCTCAGGTGCATGTGTGTTCGCACACACACACACATATGCTATAGCAGTAGGTTCAGAGCATCCTAAACCTTTATATTTACCAAAGTTTAAGATGGTTTTGAGGAATCAACAAGCCAGCCTTTCAGGGACCCTCCTTTCATCTAGCTGCCAGGGAACTTAGGTGTCAGATCCTTGCCCAAAGAAAAGCTTCCTTGGACAGCTCCCAAGCATATTCTTTCACCTAATCTTTTATATCTAACTTTAAACAAAGCACATAACACCTAGCAACTCCTAGTGGGTCACCCTAGTAACCCCTACTTTTAGCAAACTACTCATTATTTGCAAAAAGAACAGGAGTACTTGTGGCACCTTAGAGACTAACAAATTTGTTAGTCTCTAAGGTGCCACAAGTACTCCTGTTCTTTTTGCGGATACAGACTAACACGGCTGCTACTCTGAAACTACTCATTATTTCTTTTCATCAAAGCATTTCTAGTCATGGCAACAATAAAACTTACATGTCAGAGGTGTCAGAAACACTTAAAACAAAGGTTGGCTGTCCAAACGTTCCTTCTATTTTCACAGTACATTAACTCCTTGTTCCATCCTCCCATTCTGATTAGCAGAACTGCAAACATACAGCTGCACCACCTTGCCTTTCAGGGTTCTAAAAATTATTCCTAGCTATGTGATGTTTGGGTTTCAGCTAGCAGTGGCTAAACATACAAAATGGCTGACTTGCAGTATTGTCAAGTTCTGGGCTAACATGCAGGAATATCAAATTCTGGGTTACATTTGGATAATAAAGCTACATAAAAAAGACTGTGGGTATGGCAGTGAGTCCTTACCAATCTGGAGAGAAGCCCTACTGTGTTAGTCTCCATGCTAGTCCCCTACATGAACTGTTATGTTACACACCTCTCTAGATGGTCTGCCACTTGTTGTGAGTCCTATTGTAAATTCAAAACTGTTGTTTCATTCAGCACCAACTTTGAATTTAGCCATTTGTGTGCAACAGATTCAACAGGGAGAAGACATGTAAAAGAACGTTAAGATGGCAATCCAAAACACCCCAAAGCTGGATATGCTTAAGGTTGCCGTCACAACTTTAATTCTGCCCCCTGGTGTGTAGATATGATGCTAGTCTTTAACAGTCATGACTCTTCTGTTTTTCTCCCCTGAACTCCTGTTTCATTCAGTATGCATCACTACCACATGATGGAATGTGTTTGGATTTTTTATTTTGGGGAAAAAATAGAAAATTTACATTAAAAGAAGGTTAGTCTTAACTCTGCCTCCTTGTATGTATGCATTATGATAAGTCTCTAATTACTTTATCACATGTTTTCCCACACTATTCCTGTCTCATTCAATGCACATTTTTTCTCTAGAGAATATCCTAAATTTTCTTTCAGGTTTCTACTGCCTCCTGCTGAGGTACATGAGCTGCCCTAAAAAGGTCTCACTTTAAAAAAATATAATGGGGAAAGTGCATTTTTATCATTCTCTTCATTTTGAAGGAAGCTGAAACACTTTTCCTGAAACTTTCAAAATAAGAAAGGGAAAAAAATGATCCCGAGCTAAGAAGAAATGTACATATTTTCATCCCCCAAAATAAAAATGACAGTTATAAGCATCTGAAAATAACATTTTAGAATGAGAGATTTGCAGCCTTAACTATAGATATTTTGTGTGCTCTGCCTGTAATACAGACAGGAAAGTATATTTTCCATGTATTTTTTCCCCTACACTCAGGTTTCAGCTGTCCTGATAATGCCCAAAATTCATCCAAAGAACTCCATGTAAATGCTTCAATGATGCTGGCCAAATTAAAAGAAAACCTATGTGGAAAGGAAGGGAGCAGGAAAGCAGGTAACCACTTCTTGAGTCACACTCCCTTTTACCGTAGTTATTTATCTTATGGTAGTGTCCAGATGCCAAATTGGAATTGGGCCCCAATGAGCTATGTGCTATACAAATTGAGGTGGAAAGTCCCAGATCTGAAGAGTTTACAGTCTCAGAAAAAGTGTATAATCATTACTGTCCTGGAGGCAAGAACGGTGTACTAAAGAGAGAAACAGTTTAGAAGAGGATAAACAAAGGGATGGAATGATAGGAGGGAGAGATGTCACCAGGAGATGCTCTGTTGATCTCTTTCTTTACTCTGTAGAACATGCCCCATGTGAGTACTGCCCATTCAGATGGGTTCTGCATGAGAGGAAATGCTACTACTTCTCTGAGGAGAAGAAAACCTGGAGTGATAGTGAGAAGTACTGCAGCTCCCAGACATCTAGCCTGGCTGTGATCGACAGCGAGGAGGAGAAGGTGAGGAAACAACTGGTTCACACTTCTAATGGAGTGAAGTCAGCAATATATATTTATCAGGGTGAAGGGGTTCCTTCGATGTCCAAGACAAATCTCTGAAAATCGCTTTTCCCTCAGTTTATTAACTTGCAGAACAAGAAGTGCATTAGACCACTATCTATCTGCCCTTGTGCATTAAGACATCATGTTCAGGTGTGTTATATCACCTAGCTATGCTCTTGTCATCTCTTATAAACTGGATGAGGTTATGATGGGTTAGCACTTGGATGGGAGACTGGCTGCCCATGGATTTGTTGTTGGTAATTTACTAAGTGTAGTACTGAGTCAGTACTGTACCAATGCCCCAGCTCAGTGTTACCATTCTGATGGAGGGTCCATCTTTTTTCATAAGATGTAAAAACAAGACTACAGACCAGGAGTCAGTTAAAACTTATTTCCTTTTAGAAGTATCTCCTCTCTCCCTCCAGTCCAAACCCTTCTCCACTAGCATAAAAATGTCCCTGCTATGATGGCTGTGCTATATTTTTATGCACAAACTGCAACTCTATACTTTAATTTGGAGTGATTTTTATTTTAGGTTATGGAAAACAATAAGAACAAAGCAAAGTAAAATCTCCATGACAGAGTAGATTGTGGGTTTCTCTTCTCTAACAATCTATAACAACTCTGAGAACAAGATAAGAGCTGTCTCTGCACACAGGCAGAAAACTTCAGAACTGTTAACATAGAAAACAAAGGTATCACAGTTTCATAGCTACACATACACCAGAGGCTTTCCCCTCCTTGAACAACTTCGTTCACACTCCCATATTGCCCTGACACCCTGTTTCTTTATTACTGTTGTTGTCATGACGTATTTGTATAGTGCCATAAGTATCCATGGTACAGGGCTTGCATTGTATCTTCTCCAGAACTTTATAACAACCATGCTGACGAAAGCACGTGGCTACAGCTGGCTTGGACTAACTAAGGAGAAAAATAGATGGATGTGGGTGACTGGAGATGTATTACTGCCAAAAATGTATGTTTTCTTTTTACTATTAGAAAAGTGTTAAAAAGAAAATCAATTGTCATGTTTATGCAGCTACTGTCTAAAGTATTTATATGGCCCCATGTTACAGCTGGGTAACTGAAGCGAAGAGAATAAGTGACTTGTCCAAGGTCACACAGGAAGCCTGTGGCAAAAAGGCTAATTGACTCCAGGTCTTCCAAATGCCAGGTTGGCATCCCAACCACTGGTCCATCCTTCCTCTCAAAGCATAGGACCTGTCTCTTGAGGCCTGGGTCCTTACTTCACTAGCAACCACCTGAGTCTGTGCCTGGAGAAGAAAGGCAGAAGATAGTGTTGTATCTTTCTTGTTATAGAGGAAAGGCTCAGTCAAAGAGGAAGATTTTGTAATATCAATTAAATACTATGTAAAGTTGTATTTATGTTGTAAATACATCATATTGCCAATGGAATTTTCCCATAAGTTGGTATAAACTATGTTCTTCCAAGAACTAAATATTTAACTGCATTTAATAGTATTTCTGATGGGCCAAATCTTGCTTTCCCATCTTTAGTCAGTTCTTCTTCAAGCAAAACCGCCATTGATGTCAGTGGGGATTTTGCCAAGTAAGAACTGTACTATTTCATGAAGCACAAGTATCACAATATCTGGTGTTTATGTGTGTGTGTTTTTTATAAAAAGCCCCAAGTCATTTTTAAGCCCCTCATGGTTTCAGAGAAAACCTTGAGCCCTTAAGGTTCACAGAGGTAATATTTTCAAAGAAGAATTGCTCTGTGCAGGCTTGAAAGCATGTCTTTCTCACCAATAGAAGTTGGTCCAATAAAAGATATTACCTCACCCACCTTGTCTTTCTAATATCCTGGGACTGACACAGCTGCACCAACACTGCATAGGCTCAAAACTATCCGACAAATAAAAGAACACAAGATGTATTACGCTTTTAAAATATCTCATGATTGTGGTTCATGATTTCTGAGTGCTTGGGGATGGCAACGCTGAGTATTAACAATTATGCTAACACTGTCCCAACTAAGCACCAGCCACTATAATTCACTTTCATCATTAAACTAAGTCCGTTTGCCTGGTAGATGTCCCAATAATACAGCCATCCCAATACAGCTTGTCCCAGACGCTGGTGGCAACTTGGAGAATTTTTGTGCTTCTCAAAGACAGGGCAGTACCGCAGTCTTTGTTTTACAGTTCTATTTTTTCCTCCCTTAGGTTTCATATGAAAGAGGTCAGCAGCAGCAACTCCACCTGTGCAGTTTTCCATGTGACTGGTATTCAGGCTGAGAAGTGCTTCAATCCCAACAAATGGGTCTGTGAGAAAAACACCATGGAATTCCCAACCCTATTTGAACGCCTGCAGGACTGAAATTCCCCTGACACCACTTCTTTTCCCATGACAGACACATTCCATTATGCATGCAGGCCTGAGTGCTTACCAGGGACTTAACTGAAAAAAATAATTTCCTCTGCCTATTACATTAACTGCTCATATTCACTCATGTGCCTGTGTGTGCAGTGCCCAGAGAGCCCAGGTCACTTCAGCAATGTTTTGGCTACACATTAAAAAGAGAAGTGATCCTTGTTAGGACAAGACTAGGAGCGGTTTTATGGTGCATCCTGTAGGGCCTGCACCTGTTGATGTCCACTGTGGGTAGCAGAGCACATGGTTGGATACCAATGTACATGACTGAATGAACACCTCTTTTATGCATACTCTAGAACTTAGTCTGAAGAAAGAGTGTGTGTTTATGCACTCCCTGATACTGGGGGGTTGGGCCCCTTCAAAAAGCTCATGATAGAATATATAATATATGTAGTTAATAAGCTTCTGTTTCATCCAAGAATGTTCAAAATGCATAGTTTCATAGATGGCCTGTCACCGCTTTTTGAAAAGTTGTGTGCTTGCCCTTTCCTATTAAAATGGATTTTTGCATTTGCAAAGGCAAAATAAATAAATAAATAAAAGAATAATCACTGCACCTAATTTCATGAAAATAAATAGGGATTTCAAATGTGCAAAAAAATCACATAATACAATGGCATGAAGCTGTGAGGAAATTGTGGGGAAATGTTTTAAATAGCATTAACAAAAATAAAACTATTGTAGGACATGGATTCTGTGTAATGAGCTAACAATGACAGGGTGGTTATTGAGGAGTAGGTGGAGGGTGTGCAGGGTTTCATAAATGATATTATTTGTAACTTTGAAAAAATTATTTAATAGGTGTCATAGTAGTGATGCCATTAGTAAAGGTTCCTAATATCTTCCATTATAACAGTGTGTTATCATTTTCCATTGTAATGTAACTCTTCTACCAGGTGAAATCAGCAACAATAAGGGCTGGGCTCAATATCCAGGGGTCATTCTTAACAATACAATACAGAACTGGCTCGAGCCCCCAACTATCTGGGAAAAATCCACACACCCCCTGAGAGCGTCCAAGAGGTAATACTTCCCCTCTCACAAGCACAAAGTCTGAGTGTAGAAAATAAACTTTTAATGAAAGGAGGGAAGTAGCTCAGCATTAATTTGGGAAAACACCGCAAGCAGGATTCATAAACATAAAACTATGAGCAAAACAGCCACCCCAGAGTATGTTGGGCAGTGCCCCTCCCTTCTCCTTACAACACACCCCACTGACAGTTGTTGTCCTTAGTCAGCAAAGACCTTGAGTTCACCTCCCACCTTGGGGGTTGAGGGGAAGGCATCCTGCTCACTCTGCCATCCCGGCACTTGCTTTGGCATCAGCTACCTCACTGGACGCTCCGCTAAGTCCACCGGCCATCCTGCTGGCCATCACTGATGCACACCATCACCTTCTGCTGCCTCCTGCCTCTCTACTGTGACCTTGGTGGGTCAGTCTCCTGAGGTTCTACCCAGCTCTCAGTGATTTTCAGCGCTTAGTGAGGAAACCTCACTGCTGAAGCAGGCTGGGCAGAAGCGCTGTCTCACAACAGATTATTTCAGCTCTAGTGATCACTTAACAAAACAAAAAGACTCCTAATATAGCCTTAATTAGCTCTATCTTTGAACAGTGGGAGGCAAGTTAAACAATGCCTAGGACTCTTAGGCAGAGCCGTGGCCCTAGAAGGAGGGGGAGGGGGAGACAGGGGGCCATGGCCCCATCATTGTTTACTGGCCGTATGGGCAAGTGACAGGGGAGAGGAGGTGGAGAGGAGCAAGCAAAGTGTTGGGGGGAGAGGCAGTGTGGAGGCGGGGCTTCAGGGCAAGGGGCAGCACAAGGGTGGGCCCTTGGGGGAATAGCCAGCACTAGGGCAGGTGCTCAGGGAGAAAGAACGGCGTGGGGGGGCATGGTTTGGGTGCTAGTGGCCCCCACACTTTTAAGGAGCTTCTGCCGCTCCTGGGCAGAACCCTCCAGGCAGGAACACCTGTCCCCACTCCTCTTCTCCATCAAGGGGTCTGGCATCTGAGCCCCCTGCTTAGCAAGTTCAGTTAAGTTGAGGGTGACCCCCTCTGTCAGGACAGGCGAAGTATAATTATGCTGCCCTTTACTCATACAATACAGATAACAGCATTTCATTTCATTTAAAAATTTGTATTAAAGCTAATGTTAAAATTATATAATACACAGGTTAAGGAAAGAGTGTTTGTACATCTGGGTAGAGTGCTTAAATTATCCAAAAGTACAAAGTTTGATTTAAAAGTCATAAAATACATATCGTACATAATCTGCAATAACCCAAATTTAGGGTAATAAAATTAATGATACAGTTTAGATATTAGCATCCAAATATTCGGGTACATCACTCATAAAAGGTTAAACTAAGGGTATGTCTACACTACCCACCGGATCGGCAGGCAGTGATCGATCCAGTGGGGATCGATTTATCGCGTCTAGTCTAGATGTGATAAAGCAACCCCCGAGCCCTCTCCCGTCGACTCCTGTACTCCAGCGCTACGAGAGGCGCAAGCAGAGTTGATGGGGGAGCGGCAGCAGTCGACTCACCGCGGTGAAGACACCACGATAAGTTGATCTAAGTACGTTGATTTCAGCTACGTTATTCACGTAGCTGAAGTTGCGTAACTTGGATGGTTCTGCCCACCCGCCCCCAGTGTAGACCAGGGCTAAGAGTTGGTTGTGGAAAACAAACATAGCAATGAGTGTAGATTGTCCCTCAGTAATTGAGCATTTAGGATAGGTTGTCCCTCAGTAGATACAATCCATCAGAGAAGTATTCCAGTTACTTTCCTGACTTCGCTTCTCAACAGCACTCCTGGTCATCTCTCTTGGTATTGCCAATGTCCGGCGATGTGTTCTAAATAGATTTCCCTCGACCACCTGATGGCGTCCGATACCATGAGTTGCCACATCAGCCAAGCATAATGCTGACCAATTCCGCATTCCCGTAACACTCGCTCATTACAGGGGTCCCATGCACCCAGGGCTCCAACGATCAGCATGTGTGTTTGAACCTCGTAAGCCCTAGCTCTCAAGGCATCGGCCAAAAGGGCATATTTCTCCACCTCTCAAGCTTGGGTATCACAGAAGGTCGGGTCCTGTTTTCAAAGGGCACTGTAACGTCCATCATGACGATCTTGATTTGCAAACCAACACTAAAGTGATTCATAACCCAGCACCAGTCAAATTGGTCACTTTGCCAACACAGCTCTGTCTGCTCATACTTAGGCTGAATGGGTGTGTTCATGTAAATACAGTCTGATCCTAAAGCTTTTTCCCCTCCCCAGCTCATCACTAGCTGTCAGTGGAGAGCTCATTTAGACCCTGCTTACAGTAACTTTGACAAACTGTAACCATTTGGGCTGAAATTTCCCATTGTTGGGCTCTGTCTCTGTCTGAATTTTTGCCAGGGAATATTCCTTAATAGTCCCTTTTGCTATCCCCTCAAAAATTGGCCCACTTTTGACAGTTTCATGCATCTGCCAATTTCCACTTCTGCATGTGCAGTAAATTTGGTAAATGATTGGTCCTTAAGAGTTCAATTATACAGAGCAAAATCTGAAGCCTGACAGCCTCCTACATGTGCACTGCACCAACCATGCTACCACATCCTCCATAACATTATCTACATGGTAGGCTATGCATTCTAATCTCACTTCTTCCACTGATTGGTGTTAATTCTATCCACTTTACAGACCTTAGTGAGTAAGTGTCAAAACCACTATCCTAGTAGGGAGGTAAGTGTCAGACCCCTTCATTTTACAGATGGGGTAACTAAGACATTGCAAAGATCACATCTGGCAATGCTAGGAATAGACCATAGTTCTCTAAAAGAGCATATTCAATTCTCATCCACTCAGTCACATTGCCTATCACAATGAATGGGCCAAGACTATGTTCTTGGCTATGTTGTCTGTAACCACTAGACCACACTACCCTCCGCAGACAGTAAGGATGCCAACCCTCCTGATTTGGGCAGGAGTCTCCTGGAATCGGGCTCGATCTCATGGAGGCTTCTGAAGCCAATCTGGGAGATTTTAGGCCACTAAAAGTCCGGCAGCACAGTGGGGCATGTCCGGGAGCGGCTCCAAGAAGGAGGCACGGCCAGGGGGTCTCTGCACCCTGCCCCCACCCCGAGCGCCAATTCCACAGCTCCCATTGGCTGGAAACAAGGAACCGCGGCCAATGGAAGTGGCGGGGGCAGTGCTTGCAGGCAGGGGCACTGTACAGAGCTGCCTGGACGCCCGTGAGCCTAGAAGCCTGGACATGCTGCTGCCTCCCGGAGACGCCTAAGATAAGCACTGCCCAGCCAGAGCCTGCACCTTGAACCCCCTCCCACACCCCAACCCCCTGCTCCAGTCCCCTCCACACCCAAACTCCATCCCAGAGCCCACATCCCAAATGCCCTCTCACACCCCAACCCCCTTTCCCAGCCCCCTCCTGCATGCAAACTCCCCCCCAGCCAGAGCCCACACCCCAAATCCCCTCCTGCACCCTGAACCCCCTGCCCCAGGTCATAACCCCTCCTGCATCCAAACTCCCACCCAGAGCCTGCACCCCAAACCCTTCCTGCACCCCAACCTCCTGCTCCAGCACTGAGCCCCCTCCCACACCCAAACTCCCTCATGGAGCCCACACCTCAACCCCCTGCCCTAGGCTCAGCCCATAGCCCCCTCCCACACTCCGAACCCCTTGGCCCCACATCCCATCCTACACCCCAGCCCCCTCCCCCATGCCAGTGAAAGTGAATGAGGGTGGGAGAGAGCAAGCAACCGAGGGAGGGAGGCTGGAGTGAACGGGGGCAAGACCTCAGAAAATGGGCGGGGAAGAGGCAGGGCCTTGGGAAAGGGGCAGGGCAGGGGTGTTACCAGATGTGCCCGTTACTTTGGGGTATGCTCATTTATTAGGGTTACTCTTCTGGGGGGGGGGGGTTGGGTTCTGTAATTCTATCAATGTACTGCTTGTGTCACTTGTGTGTTCATATGGAGCTCTACTCCTCCCTTCTGCAAGTCCCCTCCCAATGGAGCTATCCTGCAGGACCTAGTTTCCCCAGGGCTGGGTTCCTCCAGCCCCAGAATCAGATGAACACACACACACACTAACAGAGCAAGTCTGAGTGGACCGGGTCAATCAGCACTCTCAAGCTGACCCCCCCTTATATGTCCCTGTACTCAATGGGCTGGGTCAAGCAGCACTTTCAAGCTGCCACCCTTATATGCCACAGGTTCAGCACATCCCTATCCCCACTTTCACGTTACAATTATACTGGTAGTAACCCACTTAATGAGCAAACCCCACAGTATTTTTGGGTGCTACAGGGATCTTTAGCTTAGCTAAAAGAAGTGTTGCTGCAGAGTAAATGGGGAAGCTAGAAACACAAAAGAGTAAAGTTCAGAGAGAAAGAGAGAAGCAACCAGCTTAACCATAAAAGTTATCTATAGTGATAACTTCACAAGGAGGGCTAAACAAACATAACAGTTACATTATTAAAGGTTAATACCTGAGGTAGAAAAGAAAACAGAGAAAGAGAGAGAGGGAGGGATTTCACCCACTCCATGAGGCTTGAACTGGTTGGCGTTCCCAGGTGATGGTGGTAACTCAGGGTCCTGAGTGTTGGAGAAAGGCAGAGCCCCCAGCACGATCAGTCAGGAGATGGAGTCCCAGTGGAACAGATGCAGAGTTTGGGTCCATGCATCAGAACACTTACTTGGGCATAGGTAAGGGTTTTTGTAGAGAAAATACAATGATTCAAGGGAGAACATTAGATTTGTTTATGGGTAAACTGATGACTCAAGGGTTTTCTTTAGGCTAGACAATAGGAGTTGATCACTCTTGGCTATGGGTGGTGTTTTCTTTCAGGGAGCTCACAATGCAATTAGGCTGCTTCAGTATTTTGGATATCAATCAAGGATTCATTACTAGAATTGGTCTGATAACTGCTGAGCTGGGTGTGGGCAGGCGTAGGTTCATTAACATCTGGAGCAGAGATCCCCCATGATGCAGTGCTTCCCTGCTTTTCTGGTCCCAGAGTTCAGTGCGGTTCTCTGTTCTCCATTCTGTATGCTAATGGAGATGTCTTAATCTTGTCACCCTTGTCAGGAGGGGTCTAGGTGTGTCTCCCAACACCCTTCATTGCTCTCTGCAAGCCTTTTCTCTGATCGGTTTTGGTTCAAGCAGAGACTGGTGTGGGGGTATTTTTCATGAGTCAGACAGGCTGGATACTGCGCCCTGGTTCCCCAAGAACACAGAGCTGACTGGTATCAGGGGTGGGGCAAGGGTGTTTAGGTTTGTGCAATTAGACAGTTGGCAACCCTAGCCAGACACCAGGTATACAGAGACTAACAGGGAGCTGTTATTAGCAGCTCTCGTTAGCTCAAATGGTATGAACTCTATGCTGTGGATCTGAAATTAGTGGGCACAAACCTTAATTTTGCCCTGTGCAGGAGGGTAGATGGAGATGTTGTAATTACATAGTATTTTACTTTTTTGTTTGTTTGTTTGTTTTAAAAATTAGACAATAAAAATACATTTAGGGGATTTTAAATTTGCAAAGTTAACCACTCAAAAATTAGAAAATGTCATGTAAGGTTGCCAATGCAAACTTAATTTGGCTTCCTTGTCTGTATGTGTTATGATGCAGATTTTAATTACATGATCTCACAGGAGTTCTGCAAGACTCCTACCTCATTCAGAGCACAGGATGGACAGTGTCTGAGTGAAGGGGCTGCAGAAACACAAGAAATGGTCTTGTGATTAAAACACTGGATTAGCACCCAGGAAATTTGGATACTATTTCCTGCTCTGCTATGGGTTCCTATGTGATGTTGGGCAAGACTATATTTCATACTACTGATGCACATGGAGCTGAATGAGGTTATGAAGGTGGAGCATGAGTGTACGTGCTAGGACCCGAAAGATGATGAACTATGCCTGGGCAGGGCGAAGCCAGAGGAAACTTTGGTGAAGGTCCGTAGCGGTCGTGACGTGCAAATCGGTCATCCGACCGGGGTATAGGGGCGAAAGACTAATCGAACCATCTAGTAGCTGGTTCCCTCCGAAGTTTCCCTCAGGATAGCTGGCACTTGTCCATCTCCACACACTGTCTGGGGGACGACTGCTAAGCCTCCTCCCCAACCCACACACACACTCTCTGGGGGACGACTATTAAACCTCCCCCTGGACCGCCCGGGGGAAGACTGCTAAGCTTCCCGCCAGCCCCCCGCCCAGCCAGGGGGAAGACTGCTAAGCCTCCCCCCCCTCACACACACACACACACTGTCTGGGGGACAACTATTAAGCCTCCCCCGGACTGCCCTGGGGACGACTATTAAGCCTCCCCCCGGACCTGCTCCATCTCGACTATTAAGCCCCCCTCTGTGGTCCTCAGGATCACTGCCACACTGCCCTCGGAGTGGGGTGACACCCGGGCCCGACAGCAAACCGGCCACCAGGTCAACCCATTAGATTCAATGGGTCGACTTTGCAATTTTTATGTTTTTTCAGTGTAGCTTTTTGGATGCAATTTGAAATAAATTGGAAAAAAGACAACTCACCATTATTGAATGCATTGGCCTAGATGAAGGCCCTGGAGTTCTAATGAAGGCAAGAGTATTAGCAATCAAATGGACACTTAAGAATCCCTCAGCATTTACAGAAGCTATTGTACAGGTTTTCAAATGAAAGTAAATATTCTGAAAGTGCTTAATCTTTTTTGGTCTGCAATTCACCAAAAAAAAATCACACAAATTATCTTAGAAAAGATTCCTAGAAAAGATTGTGGAATTGGGGTGCATGGGGGAGGGGGGAAGATGGGAGCTGAGTGAGTGTATCTAAGTGAGATTCTACCCTGTGACGTTATGAGTGTAATATAATATCTCATTGAAAGGTGACAGGGCCAAAAAGAGTTAATTACCTCGCAGACTAAC